ATCGGATTCTATTCTCAACTAAGCCGCTTTTAGGGAGAGAGCTGAGCTATTCTCCACATCAGGCTTTATAGAATAATGCTTTCATGTGATCACCTTAATAGCTTGATTAAAATTAGCTACATACTAACAAGTGTTGCATTTTTAGCTTGAAGCAATTCAGTCGTTCTTCATTTAGTCTTTACATAATTTATTCACAACCAATCTTTATTGCAAGAAATATCGAATAAATTTACCTCAAAAGAGAGAACAGCGTATAAAGGAGCTGTTAAATAAAGTTTATAATTTGGTATAAATTTCCACGAAGTTGGGGACCCTATAAAAATCAGTCTTGCTTGCCAGAAGAAACATTTCAGCAGGGAGAGGTGGAGCTGAAGTATATATTAAGAAGTATGGCCCATGAACACGAAAGGTTATTGCCAGCTGCTTGATAATGATATTTGGAATTAAGGACAACGCAAATCCTGAAGCAGCAAAGAATGGGCAAAGGAGCAGCAAATGAGAGACAATAAAGTGTAAAGAAAAGGGAAAGAAATGGCAAATAAGTGGCGATAAAGTATCGATGGCGCAGCGACAAGTAACACTAAAGAGGCTGGTGCGGATGCACAATCAGGCAGCACCGGAGCCAAAAGACCGCGAGAAAGTGGTTCAAGGTGATTTCAATTAATGTAGCAGATTGAAAAAGTATTTTCCAATCAGCGTTGAGTCACCTTAGTTAACCAATCAGGCTCGTGGGCTGGTACAAGAGTGTGACCAATCCAAATCGTGCTGGCAATGCTGTATCTCCACCAATCAGACATGAGGAAATGCAAAACAGTTAAGACTATGCTAATAGTTGAGCTTGGTTTGGGGGCCGTGAATTACTGATAGGCCTGCAAAATTGCTCACTGATACCAAATCCGGAATTCTCTGTCTCAAACAACCTTGCAAACTCCTCCATGCCATGAAGACACAGCCAAATCAGCGCATGTTGTTCCCCCCTCGTTGGCCTGAGATAGCAAATTGTCCATTCTGGCCGCACGTCTGCGCCTCCGCCACCTAAAAAAATATAAAAGTCATAGGATTGTCTTTTAATTGATTATGTAATCCCCAACCTCGTAGAAATGGGCTCACCTTCATAGAAATCAGGCTGCTGTAGTCAGGTGCCTTACATCTTACAATTTGGCGTAGTTACAAAAATACAACGAGCATATTCACCAACCCCTTTCTTCAAACACACATACGGACAAAATGTGCCGTCTCAGCAATTAGGCCTCTATTTAGTTTCCTTCAACCAAAAGTAAGCTAAACTGCTTCCTTGTAAGCATGCTAAATTCCTTCTTTCTTTGATCTATCTTTCCTTCCAGCATGTCGAAGTGGATCATCTCAGACCACGTGTACAAAAGGAGGAAGAGTGCAGAAAATAAAGAAAGTGCAAAATATACCCAAGAAAGTACTCGTGCAAGGAGTGCTAGTATCCAAGTGCTTTCCTGAAGTCAGCTTAAAAGAAGTGGACGTAACCATGACACCAGGTAGAGAGCACCATTCTCATCTTTTTAATAGTATTCAACCCCATTTCCAACAAATTGATTCAGATATGAAAATAGTAGTGGTTTTGCATATGCAGTGAACCATAAAATAAATCAAGGATAAAATGATCGTGGACTGTCTACTTTATTTGATAAATTTACAAAAAGAAGAGGCACTTCATGATTGAGGACTTGATAAATGAAAAATAAGAGTTGAAATTTAGCATCAAAGTGCATCTCATATCTCAAGAGTCATTTCGCTTTGTTTTTTACTTTAGCCAAATTGTTGAGAATATACTATTAATCGACTGAGTATTTGGAACAAGAGAGCTCTCTTGTTGTAATAGTCTTGCTTGTTTTGTGGCTAGTTGATGTATGTATACGTAAAGAAGCGCTTTCCATATCGGTTTCACCGGAATGTGAACGAAAATGACCTTAATTGTCTGGATTACACAAAGTATTGAATTAATTTAAAATCCACAGAATCCTAGAAATCTGAAAATTTAATAACATCTATAATCTTGGTCCAGTTGGGCTTAAATACTACACTGGCTGTTACTCTTCTTAGTATGATAAAATCCAAAGATTTTGTGCCAAAATGACCCCTTTAAACAAAGGTGCACACAAAAGAGAGACTTACCCTAACACCTTTATATATAAAGTAGTCTATATGAGATTATATATATATATATATATATCATTAAAATTAAGCTAAAGGCAGGACGACTGTCCTCGAATGGTCTGTGAATCAAAGATGACAACTATCCAAGCAAGTGGGACCACGAATAGGATACTTCTAATACATGTTATTAGGTGAATTTTCCCGATTGAAATGGTTTTTCTCTTCAATCTAATCTAAATTTCTTCTCAGTTGTTCGAACTTACCGTCACGCTTAACTGAAATTTTAATTTTGATAAGTATTATGCGTACTCAAAATTAAATGGAGGCCGCAATTCTTCTGAAATGGAGCCCTTAAAAACTTAATATTTTATGGAAAACATGGTTTGCGCCCATGTATCTCTGAAATTAACATAAAAGAATGAAATGAGCACCTAAAAGCATTCTTTCAACTTAAAATTTTCTTTTCCCAGCTTAGTCATGCTGTCAGAGTGATTTAATTGGGCACACCTTGTCCAAAGTCGTCAGCTTCAGTAGTAATCATAATTCCCGGCGTCGGACCGTGGACTTGCTGCATTTCCATAAGTTTCGTCTGTATCGTCAGTGAGTGGGCGAAACATCTGAGAATATACCAAGCCTAGGGTCAGACGCTTGGTATTATCATACTAATTGATATAAAGACTTTCATTTCATATGGAAGTGCATGATGAAGAGATTCATAGGTCAATCTCACCAAAATACATCGGCTGATTCGCATTGTACTGCGGCCGTTTTTGCATTACTACGACGAGAATTCCTTCAACGTTTTGGGCGAAGGGGAGCTGAGCTTTCGTTCGTCATGCAACGTCAGAGCTGAGACTCATTCTTACAAAAGCCTCAGGTTAACACTAAGTCAAGATTGACCTACGAATATTATCATCATGTACTTCCACACCAAATGTAAGTTTTCAGATCAATTTTATCTGCAACTAAATCACCCTGACAATATGCCTAAGTTGCGAAAAGGAAGTCATATCACTTATAAACATTTAGAGGAAACAGTGACAAAAATATAGGCCCATACATCTTAGTCTTCATATCTACCGGTAATCTCACATTGTTTACATTGCCCTGTCCTCCATTTATGCTGTCCAGAATGCAAAGTTCAGAGGACTCAGAAATGGACTTCTTGTAACAACAATAAGATGTGCCTGATGGAGGTCCGTCCAAAGGCAAAAAACTGCACATGCACCCGCGAGCTGGTGACCCTCAAATGCAAATCGTGTGGCTGCAACAGAGCGGGCAGTACAAAGCGTGAGTGTCTTGGAGACAAGTTCAAGGTGACAAGGACAATATCGGAACTCGATCAAGGCGGCTGTAAAAAGAAAAATGTAAGATAATATGACATTGCATCGGTTGAAGTGTATTATATTCCGTTTCCCTTCTACAGTGTGTAATAAATTCTGTATATCTATTGTGAGGCGGAAGAATCTCATTCAACCTTACCATCCATTCGGCTTGTTTACTCAAGCACAACTGCACTTTGGACCTTGCATTGGCTTCATGGGCACCTGCATCGTGACTCGAGACCGGGTGGTGTGCACCAGCCTCTAACACGTCACCATTCCTCCCACACAGCCACGGCTGTCAGTGCGGAACAGGGTGAACGTCACATCCACTTTTTATAGTGGGAGTGGTAGCAATGAGGAAAAACTGTGTTTGTTGAGCTTACTTCCATTTCGAGTGGAAGTGTCGGGTGAAGAGATTCGAAGGTCGGTTCCACCAGAAGACGACGGCGGATTCCTTTTGACCAGCTGTCGATTGGCTTTACATGAAGCTTCATGCTGACGCTGATTCCGAAGCAATCTCCTTCTATTCCGGTGAAAAGGTGCTAAGCTTTCGTCCGTCATATGACGAGCATCGCGAGAGCAAGGAATCATCTTAATAACCAAATTTAAGCTAACGAGTCAAGAAAACTCGCCGGCAAATCCCTAAAAAGTGGTATATATACTCTAAATCTGGCCACTTTGATCGAGTATAAAGTGATTTGGTTAGTTTAGGTCATATTTAAACTTCGATGCATGTGAGTGTGTCTGTCACTGTATTTGTATGTGCCTGTTTGTGTTCGCTTATTCATGAAACCCGAAGTGATGGCTCAAAGTAATTAGAACAGTCGATTCTCTTAACGCAACACTTCCACTCGAAATGGAAGTATGCTCAACAATTATTAAACAAGAGATTCATCGAAACCCAACTTATCTTCGTTTGCCATCACATTTGACTACTTTACTTCACTTTGAATGGATAAAATTGGAAAAAATATGTATACAGATTTTTAGGAAATATAAACACCTTAAGTCACTTTTAATGATGACTGCGACAATCCTATGAGCACTTATTATCAGTTCTAAATCTACCTATCATTTTGAGGACATACTTTCCGAGACCGTTTGAACCCATCAAGTCTTCCAGAAGGGAGGGTTTCTAATAGGTCTAGCGAAATAGTATCAGTTTGAAGCTTAAAATGATCACAAGTATTCTATTATTTTTATCTATTACTAAGCAATCTGTGTTCCATTAACCCTAAGTCCCATAAGGTGATGAAGGACTGATCGTTAAAATTTACCACACTCAAATGAATAGGTATCACGTTTCCATTAAATTTTATTTAGTCTTATTTGCTAAAAAGTGATTTATACTTTTATTCAAGGTTTACTGATAGTTTATAATGCCTACTTATTCAAAATATAAGTAATGTAGTCGATTGTAATGACAAAAGTGATTTTGCTTCATCAGCAATCTTACTACAGCAGTAAAATGCGTAGGGCTCAGCCTTTTCGTTGACCCTGTCGATACAATAGGCTGCACTAACACAATATGGGTGCGAGTCCCGCTGGGGTGTTGGTGAGATGCAGGCGAGTGCCAAAATGCACTCCAATCAAGCCGGGATAAATATGCCTTTTGGGAAAGCAAAGCTATGCAAAATTCAATGAAAACATGAGGCTTCAAAGAGGCCTAAAGCAGCATCGATGCATATTTAGGTTGATCATCATCCTACTGAAAAGTGCACAACTTTAAGCCTGAGAATACGACATGCCTCTCTTTAAT